ATTTGGTACCGGGAACATCATCAATGGAAAGTAAAGTTTTTGTGAAGAGAGAGGAAGAGAAAGGAGAAGAGCTCTCTCTAGATTGGATCAGTGTCATAGTAAATAGCCATTTTTTTTCTCCATTATTGCCATTTTTATTACATATTGTAACCATGATTTATTTTCTTCTTGATGTAGATGATAATTGGCAAGAGTAATTGATTCCACTTTATTTTTACTTATTTAGCTTCTATTTGTTTGCTGGGGCGATTCTAAGATTTTGATTTATTTATTTATTTATTTTTCAAGGTAGACATTCAAAAATTTAAATGTTATAAATATAAATAATTAAGTGATTGGTGTGACTTTCAAAAACTCTCAAAGGCAAAATTGTCTTTTTCGCGTACTTGGGCAGCTCTGCCACAATCAAGTGGACTTGCTACACTTCTTTTTGTTTGCATATATATATTTTTAAGTGCTACTATTAGCATTTGTCAAAATTCTTTAAACTCCTCATTTTATAATTTTTTTTTATTTCAAGTATACCCTAAAGTAAAATTACATTAAAAGACATTATGATATGGAACACCCACCTATCAATAAGAACTAATACTCTATAATATTGGACACCCACCCCTACCCCACCCCCACCTCCAACTCCAACTATACGTATTCCATGTTGTAAACCCTAAACCTATTACTTTTCATAACCAACTAACATAAACCCTAAATCTATTATTTTTCATAATCATTTTAAATCTTGAATGTATCATCTTCATCACCATCATCAACGCTATTGAACTTGAAAGTTTTGCTTAAAGTATAACATATACTTCATCACTTATTTCACTGCGTAGAGCAATGGAGGACGAGAACAACAATTCTAGTGAGACTGGCGTTCCATTGATAAGTTTATCTGTCTTGTATTAACATTCTCGATCGTTTTCGGTCGTTCTTATTTCGTTTGAGCCGTTCGGTACTAGTTTGCTGACTGTTAGAATTATGTTCGATAATACAGTACTGAACATAATCCTTTCATTCAATACATAGGTTCCGAACATTAATGCAGATAGTCAGTTATGTAATTTGTTTTGTTAAACTAACTTAGAATGGAAAAGAGTGAATTAGAATGGATTTAAGTTATGTATTTTGAATGGATTTAATTTATGTTGTTTTAAGTTGTGAATTGGAATGGATTCAAGTTACATAGTGATGAACAAATTTTGTTCGGACATACAGTGCTGACAGGATCATTATTGTTCGACAAAACAATTCTGAACAAAATACATTTTTTCGGCTACACAGTGGTGAACAAATTGTTTTGGGCTACATTCAAAATTCTAATGGCGATTTAGATGATGATTCTGATGACGATTCAGATGATGATTCTGATGGCGATTCAGACGATGATTCTATTTTTCTTCATCTTGCAAACAGTTATGCAAATCCCGTAGAAATTGGAGTATCTTCGATCGATTTCAGCGATGACGAAGATACAAAAAGCAACGAAGAAGATGATGATGAGAGGATGAGAGAGGTTAATGATTCGGCGATACGGAGAGCGTTCAGAGAAGATGAGAGTCGTTGGAACGCTCCGTTGACGGCCGAGACGGCGATGAGAGTGATGGAGGGTTGGGGTCCAAGAATTCTATACTGGACCAAAGCTCCAAACTCTGAAGATTGAGTGAGTCAGGGAAGGAGAGGGATGAAAAATTAGGTAGGTGTGCATTTCATTGTGAAAATGTTATGAATATGGATAGATTTGGTAATAAGTGAGGTGTCCAAAAAAATATTATTAAAATTTAGGATTTAAGGTTGGGGTCCAAAGAAATGGGGGGTCCAAAGAATTTCGGTAGGTGCTAATAGCAGCACTCTTTGTGTTTATCACTAGTATGATAAAATGAAACATTTTTTTTCTTGTAAAGTCTAATTTCTTCTCTCTCAAAAAAAAAAAAAAAGAGTCTAATTTCTTTATAGTTAATTTGTGCAATATGTTATAAAATAAAATTTTGAATGGTCAATAAATTGGGAACAAAAATACGCATAAGATTTGAGATAAGAAATAAAATCCATATAAAGAAAAGGATTAATTACATTCTTCACCTCTCTAGGTTGATCCAAAATTTACTTTAGTCTCTATAATTTTAATTTGAACAATTTAATCCTTATACTTTAAGTCTAGTTTTAGTTTGGTTCTTCTATCTACATTTTCGTTAATTTTATCTATGTGTACATGTTAGAAAATTAATAGATGTTTAAAAATTATTAGTTTTAATTTCCAATTTGGACGAAAGAACTAAATTGAAACCTTGGAAAATTAACAAGTGTCCAAAATTGTTAATTTATTTTGTTTACGTGTACACCCTAGAAAATTAAGATGTATCTCAAAATTATTATTTTAATCTCTACTTCGGATGGAAGAACCGAAGCAAAACCTTAAAATATTGACAAATGTCTCAAAATTATTAATTTTAACATCAAATTTAGATGAAATAACCAAATTAAAACAAGGCTTAAAGTGTATGGGCCAAATTGTGCAAATTGAAATTATAGGTACTAAAGTGAAATTTAAGTCAAACTATAGGGGTGAAAAGTGTAATTAATCCCATATTTTATATTGAATTATTGTTTAAAAATTTATATATACTAGAGAGAATAAACAAAAAGAAAAGAAGAATCTATATATATAAACTTAAACCATATATATATTAGTATAAATTACACTTTTCCCTTTTTATATTTGGTTATTTTCTTACTTTAGTGCTTGAAGTTTGATTTTTTCTACTTTGGTCCTTCATATTTCAAGGTTTTCTCAATTTACTCCTAAAGCTAATTTTTGTTCAAAATTAGATATAAAATATCACATTAACTACCACATAATATAAAAATATATTATTATATTCATATTTGAGTTTGTGTCAGAGGTGAGTTTTCTATAATAAAATATTTTTATATTCCGTGAATATCAATATGTCATTTTTTTGGACATAAGTTAGTTTTTAGAGTAAATTAGAAAAAATTTAAAACATAAAGAGTCAAACTGAAAAATAAATAAATTTTAAGGGTCCAAAATGAAAAAATAATCAAACATAAAGAAGGTAAAGTGTAATTTACTTATATATTAAGAGCATTAATGGCCACATTTTCTTATTATATTTTATTTATATTCTCATGTACCAACACTACATTAGTAAGAAAAATTATTCATCCCTTAATTTTGCCCCTCCAATTCTACCATTAATAATGCGGAATTGGAGGTTAAAGATGAGAGAGGGAAATGTGAGATCACTTCACGTAAATCTTAGCCACATCATTCAAGGATGAAATTGAAAAATCTTAATTAAGATATGTAACACCGTTCATATTAGTATTTACGAATATGATAATAAATAAATTATTGTAAGAAAAAATGGTAACCGTACCATTATTGTTTTAAGAATTCTTGGGTTGTGGATTGAATGTTCAATGAAGTAGATTGGAGTGGGTGTTCGACAGAGCCAACTTTGGCAAGAAAGCCGGCAATGCCGTTGCTTTGGAACTCCAAAAAAATGATTAAAACAATGGCCCCAAAAATTGATCCATTTAGTATATTCTTAAATTGGTTAGTTTTTCTAGTTTTTATAAGTGATTAAAGTTGATCTTTTTGACGAAAAGTCACTGTATTCAAATAATCTCTATTTTTTTTTTTTCTTTAAGAAAATAGCCTTATAAGCAAATTTATAAAGGTGCCAAAAAAACTGGAGTCAAATTTTCTTATGCTAAACAGTTAATAAAAAAAAGTTTAAATATATATATATATATATATCAAATAAAATAATTTTTTATTTTTAACCAATAAACTAATATTTTGGAAAAATTATCCAAAAATCCCATATCAGCATCAGCAAGCCCATTTAGTCCTACCGATTTACACATATACTGGGAGATCCCATTTGTTATAACATTATTACTAGTGGGTCCTGTTTTGGTTTTTATTTTCATATTATGGTCATTTGTAACCTTTCCTTTACTGGGTCACACAAAATTAGGGATTACGTACATTTCCTAATACCCATCTTGTGACACAGAATTAGGGATCACGTTCATATCCTAATACCCTTTCCTTTATTGGGTCACACAGAATATTGTGGAATATTTGGTCACCATAGTCAAAGCACAGAGGGGGCACATACATATTCTCATACCCATTCCACTCTAGGGTTAAACTGATATTGATATTGCAACGCTGTCGGCATTTACGCCGGCAAGTACAATGTTGTTTTCCCCTGTGACCAATGGTTGTTGCATAAGTTTTCGTCATCGTCTGTGACCCCCCCATTCTTGATGCATTTTTTACCATGTGCATTATGCAAACTGTTTGTAATGTATAGTTTGGACTGTCATGTACGGCGCACACAAAAGTATTTCTGTGTTGTTCATTTACTCCCTACCTTCTAAACCGTCTATAACTAATTTTTATGCAGGGATGGATGACGTTATTATGTTGTTGTGCTGTTTTCGGTCCACCAATATCGCATACAATCTCAAATCCCCTTATGCATTTGTCGATTTGGTTAATTTTGTGTGTGACAAATTTGGTGGTCTTACGTCGGGTAATGTTTGCTTGTTCTTCAATATTCCGGGTTACAACAATATCTCATTACAAAATGATGTAGATATGCAAAATATGGTTCACCTTACGTACTCTTTTTGCTTGCAACTAATCGACATTATTGTTGAGTCACGCAATCATGTAGATGTAACAATAGACGATGATTTTATGGATGCCATATCAAGCCCCGCCATGCGCGGAATCAAACGCGTTGTTCACCAGATTAACAATGAGTCCAATGTCGATTTGTTGCCAAATTACTGTCCACATGATGAAAAGACATTCTTATCAGCACCATGGGCTAACAGGCTAACTCATGTGGGACAGAGTTTCGAAGGCGCATGAGTTTCGGACAGTACTTTGCAAATATGTGGTGGAGTGTGGTTTTGAATTCAAGTACATGAAAAACGACTCAGTACGAATTACCACTATGTGTTCGCTTCGAGACTCGAAGGGTTGCACATGGTTGGTACACACGCAAGTGTTGGACGCTAATGGTTTTTTCTACCTTCGTAAATGGAACAATGAACACATTTGTGGCGTCGCTATTCGTACAGTCAACAACCACCATCTTGGATCAGACTTGGTCTCCGACATCTTCGCACACCGTATCCGCGACAAGCCTTTAACCAGGCCTACTGATGTTGCATTTGATTTGAAAAAAAATTACGGCCTTGAAATAAGTTGCTGTGTTGCTTGGTTAGGTGTTGAAAAAGCCAGAGGCGAGTTATTTGGGGCCCAAAGTGCATCTTTCGATCAACGAAGATGGTACAGTAGGGCCGTGACGGAACACAACCCAGGTACTTATATCAATATTAATTGTGATGAGCATGACAACCGGTTCGAACGTTTTTTCATATCATTCAAAGCATGCATTGACGGATTCAAACATTGCTGGCCATTACTTTTCTTAGATGGCACTTTCTCGAAGGAGAGGTTCAAAGGGAATTTACTTGCTGCCACGTCTAAAGATGAAAACCGAGGTACGTTTAACATTTACACAAATATAATGCACATATGGCACACAACCATGCTTGCCCAATATGCCACTGCTACTTTAACATATTACGTGTCCCACATTCAACATCACCTTCACACATAACTAACCAACATAGTCCCATGCAGGATTGTTCCCAGTCGTATTTGTGATTGTTGGTGCAGAAAAAGCAACAAACTGGTCATGGTTTTTGCAACATCTTCGTAACGAGCTCGATGATGACAGAACGTTTACATTCATATCAGATTGGCATGTTGGCCTCATGAAGGCAATGCCCATTATCTTCCCGAATGCTCACCATGCATTTTGTATGCAACACATTCGGAGGAACCTAAGGGACAAACTGACATATATGAATAATTTCCATCAGATTGGGTTGATAACCAAGTTCAACAACTATGCTTACGCACCGACTGTTATTGCATTTGAAGAGATGGTAGGAAAGTTCACCAATTCCGGTAAGAAAATTGCAATCGATTTCTCGAAAATCTACCTCCACAACATTGGGCGAACGCTTATTTCAGGTGCGTACCTTAACATGTTCCAATTGTACCTTCCGTTTCCAACATACACCATGTAGTGCTACAATACGTTATGTACACTAGTGCCGCTTTTGTGTTAGGAAACACCTTGTAATGCAGAGGCAACTGGTATGGCGAGATGTCCTCCAACGCCACCAAATGCTTCAACAACTAGTTTTCTGAGGCACATCACCTACCAATAACCCGTTTGGTGGACAGTATAAGGACACAAGTAATGAGACAAATGTCAACCAGGCAGGAAACGTCACTAAAATGGTATGGTGTGTTATGTTCAAAAATGAAAAAATGTCTAGAAAAGTCATACAACGACGGGAGGTCATGGACTGTAAGCCAATCAAGCCCCACAGTGTATGAGGTACACTCACACCCGTCCGTGATGGTTGATGTTGACAGACACACATGCTCGTGCTTTTAGTGGCAGATTAACGGGTTCCCATGCTCACATGCCATTGTTGCCGCTTGGAAAAGTGGGCAAGATTTGTATGCATTAATTAAGCCTTATTTCCATGCCGCAAAATATCGGTTGTCATATAGCCCAACCATAACACCAATACCAATAGTTGAACAACCACAAATCCATGCCCACAATTTAGTCATACTGCCGCCTGTTGTCAAATGACCACTTGGCAGGCCCAAGAATAAGAGGATACCGTCACGCGGTGAGGAAGTGCAACCAATACGTTGCAGTAGGTGCGGCCACATGGGACACCACAACTGGAAGACCTGCAAAAAACCAATATAGCAGACCAACCCAAGCATGTGGAAACACATTATTTCAAATTTCTATTACGTTATTTTCCCAGTTAATAATCATGGGTTACACATATTTCCCATGTATGCATTTCATTTTCAAGTAATTTTGCGTTATGGACAATGTTCCCACAAAGCCTACCATTAATAATGTAGTGGGATATTCATTTAATTTTCTCCATTAAATCGTTTTCAATAATCCATTGCCTTAATTTGATTCCTATTTTTAGCTACTGTGCTTTCAGTAGCAACACACACTACATAACAGTACACAAATTGCACCACTACCCACTCCTATGAATTGCCGCAACTAACGTAATGTCTGTACACACGCCACTAATAACAGTTACCCTTAACGCTTTCGCAATGTCACCCATTCACATGCCACGCTAAACCACTACCAACACTTCTGTCACTTACTGTTATCTTACATGCTCAATGCAATACTCTTCTTTTACCATCACACAACCACGACATACCTGTTCCACACACCTTATGTCCACGCATCACCACGACCGACTAACGAATACCTTACGAACGCAAACTTCCGACCCATTCCCAACACTCTCACTTACAGGCCATCAACACCATATACCATACCCATGGCAACAGGCACACACGTACATACTTAACCAAACAATACTGTTGTTCCCACTTACATCAACAATACATGCCGAACATACGAAAGTCCAAAACAGTAAATTTACAAAACACCATCACAATTGTAACATAAAACATAATCGCTTAACTGCCATCCGCAATTACTATTATTCATAATTTAATACCCAATGTAAAAACCAATCCAAACATTAACAAGAACTAACACAAACTAAATAAACTAAGTTCATCACTGTGCAAAAAGTACCCCAAAAAAAAATTCACTCTAGCGTAACACCACCATGTTGCCAAACAATAAACCAAACGACTGATCAATCCCAACCACAAAAAACAAACACTATCACACTTCATGCAATGCCCTTCAGTCCCCTATCACGATCGTTCACAAACCCTTTAACCATGTTGGGGCACAAGATGACACAGTTATCTCCCCTGCAACGATCTGTTGACATCAACATGTGTACATACTGACGCATCACAACACATATAATGATTGCGTAGTCCTCTTTGCAATGTGGGACAACACAAACACACACAACTTATTAACGCCTTCAACAAACCATATACCAGATTACATTTGTTATATCTAGTTTCAAATCAATCTGTAAAAGACACGTGCGAGTCGTGTTTCTGTTGCGGGCAGTCAATGACTGCCTCCACACCCGTTTCACCAATCTGCGTCACGTCGTCATCGCCCTGTAAAACAATACCGGTTGATTACCAAACAAACACAACTAAAACACAAAACACAAGCCAATACCACACAGATAACGATACACTTTACTCACCACAAACATCGCTTCCTTAAAGTTCTTGTCTTCTATTCCAGCCCAGGGCCTCATAGAGTTGTAATGTTTCCAGCCACCCATTTCAGTGTCATAAACAACCAGCATCCAGTGTGCTCGAAAACAAATAGAGAAGTGGATGTACCGACAATCTTTACATGTTGCGAAGTTGTCCAACATGAACCTTTCCCATGCCTTAGTGTTATCGTTCTTTAACATATCCTGCATCATTATTTCACCCGTTACATTTTTAGATTTAATCGTTCGAAACATGCACCACACAGCTTCCCAATGGAACTTGAAAAAAACATGACAAACTCACAAGGCATATACTACTAAAAATGTATGACTTATCCGGGAACTCCACTCCAACAACAAGTTTGTCTTGTTCTTCCATCAACAAGAGTGCGTACACATCTATCACCTGCCACAAAACGATACATTACTACACCAAACTTTAAACAAACAAAACATTGAAACAATAATACTAGAATTGTAAACCAATTACTTACATTGTCACACAACGACAACGACCAAACAAGCGACTTAATATCCACAAAGTACACACACACATCATGTCTACTGCTAGCCCACATAACTGCTCTACAAGTACAAACATAAGGCATGTCAAACGCATGTACACGCAAACCCAATTTTATTTCAATCACGCATACATCACATACCTGTCCTCATCTTTGTTATACGCATCTCTGATTTTCTCTTTCTCCACCTCATTCATCATTTTCCACACCCTTAGACGGTTGTTCAAATCAACCTAGACCACTCCCTGCTCCTGACCGCACACGCATCCACATCAATAACGCGTCCAGCGTTACCACATCTCACACCGCTACGTACAACATCCACTACCTTATTATCACCCACAATGTTACACCCTATCATCAAGTTTCCCACGCCGCAGTACTCAAAATCTGGTATTCTAAGTTCCTTTCTCACCTTACACTTCAGGTTCCTCACAAACGAGTTTTGCACACATTCCACAGGTTGACCAGCCGTCATACTTCTTCCAACTTCAACGACATCGGAATTATTTTGACTAACTTCAACCAGCACACCACCTGTCATGTCATCGGAGCCCCCACAATTGTCAGCCTTGGTTAATCCATTATTTCCATGCGGCCTAACAATATATAATGTTGTCCCATCCTTAATTCCAATAGCCTTGTCGTCCCTCCTATCAGTGCATCCATCATCGACCATATGAAATGCTTGTGTGACGTTGTGCGCATCTTGTTCAACTAACTGCTCCTCTAAAACACCTATCGTCTTCCGTAGATCAACATTTTCCTCCACCACCTTCTTTATCTCGTCGTTTTTCACCTTGTAAACTAAGGTGAAACCATCAAATATATCCACAGCTTGTTTTTCTTTCATTCTCTTCAGCTGGTCAAAATTTGTTTGCAACTCCACAATCATGCCATCTTTAAGTCTACATTTCGTCCGAAGTGCGTCTATTTTGGCTAACGCTGTCTCCAGTTCCCCCATGCCATCACCAACTCGTTCCACCCGTCTTGCACGTACAAGACCACCAATATTATCAACACTTGCGCCATCGACCGTAACACTGTGTTTACCCTTTGCAACCACACCCACCTCCGCTGCACTTTGGCTTTGATCACCACTGCCCCTTACATTCCGTTTAACAGCCATCCCGATACCAACAACACCTTCGTTTCCATCATCACCCATGCTCACATCGTTCTCACCCCCACTATCATCACAAAAACCATCACTGCCATTGTTAGTGTATTCTCTACCCACTTCTCGATCTTCATTAACATTAGAGTTTTCCCCACCATCAAACTCTTCCCCTGCTATTATAACCTTTTCATATGGTTGGCTCACAAGTTTGCCAAGAATCACCTGCCACATAAATAACATATATCAATAGTATACTATTACAGTCAAACAAAATGCAAACATGTTAAACACACACGAATAACACACATCAAACTTGTACTCACGCACCTCAAATTGTGACACAGACGTTAAATCCAAACCACGTGTTTTGGTCAATAGTGTGCTAATGTTCCACTTCAAAAACCGTGGGAACATTATGGGTTTAGTGGTGCACACAATGTTCGTATGCTCACAAAGCCAGTACTATGCATTCATAAAGACAACATCAATTATTGCATACAACCAACAACATGTTCAACACATATTAGGCAAAATTTTACAGCGACAACGTGCGAGATATGTGACAGCAGCGAAATAATAATAGCAGTTAACATAAACAACATACTAGTAGCGTGACAACACAACTCGTAACTTTCTCCGGTGTCTGCCAAAATTCACGCACGGACCCCATCAGCATGTTTAGTATTGCCGCCGTCCAATCATAATTTTGCATAGTGTCCAAGTTGTCCACGTACCGCACAAACACCCAACTGATCGTCTCCCCAGACATTGAGAAAAACAACTTCACACACACATACAAACACAGCAGTTTAGCAGTGTCTTCCTCATCTCGCTTCGAATTACCTTTCATCGCATCATCAAGTAAAGTTCTAATTAGACTAGCTGTTATCCGCCCTACTCCACTACAATGTCGCTGAATGAAATCAGATGCGGGGCGTGTGCTTGGAGTCGAGTCCAAATGCTCAGGGCCGGCCTTGAGATTTAGGAGGCCCAAGGCGACCGTCGGAAATGCAGCCTTTCTTACATTGAAAAAAAAAAGTTGATGGATAAAACGATAAGTTACAACAACTTTTTTATTTGTTTATAGCCACAAAAAAAATTACTTGCACATATAATCATTAAAATTATAAACAAAAATTTACTTTCATATATTAAGATAGGAAACAATCATTACAAATACTCAAAAAAATAAAAATCTGGTTTTGTTGCTTTATAGTTTAGCA